CAAGGTCCAAACCTGCTGCACAGCCCAGGCTGGGTGGTTCCTGTGCCTCCCACTCTGTCACTCATCCCTGCACCCAAGGCTGCTGCTCCTCAAACACAGCACCAGGAATAGCAGCTCCCACTGCCCACATAGCAGGATGATCCTGGTAACCAGCAACGCTCACATCGAGCATGAGCAGGCCTTTATGCTGTTACTAAATGAGTTGCCTTCCAAATTATTAGCAGCATCAGGAGCTGGGAGCACATTTCTCAGACAATCAAGATAATTCTGGCTTTTGTAATTTGTTCCAGACAGGCTGAGACATCCGTACCCGCGCAGAGACTTTGTGCACATCGCTTGGCAGCGCCGGGGCTGGCACACGCTGTCTCTGCCAGTCCCACCCAGAGATGCAGGCAGCTGATCCAACTGGCTCAAGAAGCCACCAGGACTCTTCGAGAGTGTTTAATCCAGGCTGATTGGAAGCCAAAAGAAATTAATTCTGCTCATAAAGGGCAGAGCATGATCCTGTCAAGCACTCCGTTATTTCATAGCGGCCTTTAGCCGCTCTTGGTGTTGGACAAACACAATGTGGTTGTGGTCACTCCATGAGGATGTGGCAGAACTGGGAAAGGACCAGAGCAGCAGAAAAGGCCTGTGGTGCACAGAAAAGCCCTCATGTCAAGGGAGGCTGGGCAGCAACTGGGGAAAAGCTGTCATTTCATAAAATCATAGGCATGCAGAAAAAGGAATTCTTCTTCAAACCTTACTAGAAGGCACCAAGGGGAATCTCGGGTAGCTGATGACGAAAAAGGGACAAGCAGCTCCTTTATTGGGGTGTGGAGTTAAACCCCACAGCCCATTGTCCATGGTATGGGAAACCAGAAGTATAAAAAAGTTCCAAAACAGAGTGGAGGGCAGACTCTAAAGCTCATTATCCCTGATTTGGAAACCAGAAGTATAAACAAGCTCCAAAACACAACTGAGAGCAGACCCCTTGGACATCACAGTTTAAAAGCCCTTTTTTCCCCTGAAAAACCCCTAGACATCTGAATTGTGGGACTCAAAGATCAATATCATTCTGTCCATGACTTGTTCCCCATTCTTCACCTCAGCACACAGCCCTTGACGCCAGCTCCACACAAACCCAGCAGTTCTTCAGGCTTTGCATCCAAAACCCAGGGGAAAATCTCTCATGAACTCCAGGAGGAAAAGGTCTGAACCCTCCATGCCCTGAATCAGAGCTCATGGCTCCAGCTGAGGGGACAGGACAAATTTGTTCCCAAAATAACTGTGGATTTCTAAAATTTTCAACCCAAAACACATAGCAGCAACAGAATTAAAAGTTCCCTTTGCCTCCACTTTGGAAAAAGTGCATTAAGATCATCCAGTCCCAAGCCAACTGAGAAAATGCATTTTTGTGTGATTTAGAGCTGCTAATGGGTGACGTCACCACTGGAGCCAGTGCAATCCCACAGAAACGTGGAAATAAAATGAGCAGGAGCTATAAAATGTGTGTTTTTCTCCCCAACAGCAACAGGCCGATGCCAGCAGGAGCAGCTTTCATTGAGACTCGTCTACAACTGGTGGAGATCACAAGAAATCACTAAATAAATCACAGAGGCAACAATATCTTTCCAGGAGAGCAACCTGTTCTCTTCCCAGGCCTTTGTTAACAGCAGATCCACAGGTTTCCTTGGAAGCAAATGAGAAATAGGCACCACAGCATTGCTGGGAAAAGAAAGCGAGGGAGTGTTTTCTGGAACAACAAACCAAAGCCATTTTGGGCCACTATCTGTTAGACTCGAGTTTAGCTCAATAAGATATTGATCCTGGCTGCATGGAACACAGCCCTGATGTATTTCCTGATTAACAAGTTCTGCTGTCTGCTTTTGACAAACAAAATCTCCCTCATTGCAGGTAGATAAAAAATATATTTATCAATAATTCCAGGGTGCAGGCATTGAGTAACCAAAAGAAAAAAATATATATAAAAAGGGTTGGAAAAAGCAGGTGGGAAGGATTGCTGCATGATCACTGGAATATTTACACAAGGCTAAGTTCAATCAATGCAGAGCCTTCCCCCACAGCCTCCTCCAAAGCACACCCAGACTCTGGCTGGCCTTTTTCCTATGGAAACAGAGAGAATGAGAGCAGAGCTGCTCTTTGCTTTTCTGGTGCTTAGCTAAAAGCTGAAAATGAGATCAGGTTTTCTGGCATTCACCATTTACCTTAATAAAAACAAGCACTCAGAGGATTAGCAGGTACACAACTCTGTGTGGGGTATCATGGAACATTTTCATGATCTTTCATGCTTACACAGAAATAAAAAAAAAAAAATAATAAAAGCAGAGGACTCAAAATCTCTCCATAATATTGAAGATCAATGTAAAACTGAGCTTGGGAGCTGAGCACTGCCTGGGAAACATGAAGTAACATTTTCAAGTAGAAATCTTGCACATATGGCAAAGGAAAGCTTTTGATAGAGTAGCAAAATGATATTTCAAAAACTGATGTCCTACCTATCTATATTTATAAGAACACATTAAGTACTGGCTTAGCACTGTCCTTTTTTATTATTCCTAATAAATTACAGCTTGATCATTTTTTGAAACACAGAGATCCAGGTCTGCATTCCATAGAAATGAGAATGAAGGTTCCACTTGTCTCACCACCTTACATCCCACCCCTGGAGGGTTTGTCAGCAGGAAATTTCTCACTCATCAAGATGACTTTGAAATCTTGATGCAGAAACAAGGAGGATTTTGTCTCAAATAAACAACCAAGCACATGTTTCCCCTCTCACCTGAGCTTGTGCAGGCAGTGGGCACATGAAAAGGTTTTGGCCACTGAAGGAAACCCAAGGAAGAGGAACTCCAGATTTCCAGCACAGCCCCATGGCAACACAGGAGTGAGCTGAGAACTTAATCATGATCTGGGCAGTGCAGAGCAACACACACCAGGCTACAGAGAAAACACTAATTCAACCCCCTGTGTGAAGCTGCAGAGCTTTCAGTGCTCCCTCCACCTGGACTACAAATATTCAGGAAAGCCTCAAACCAAGCATGAGTAACTCTGTTATTTTCAGTACCTTCCTAACGCCAAAAATCGGGCACGAGCTCAAGTGCCTTGTTAAATGCAGCCCTCAAATTACAAGGATTAGAGGTCTGGATTTCCTCAGTGGAGATGACTCTTGGGCTCGAAGCTGATGAGCTGAGCCTTTGCCACCCCTGCACTGCTGCCTGGTGGGAAGCCCTTGTACAAGACAATTTCAGCAGGGCCCAGTTGGTGTCACCATTGGAAACAGCAGCCGTGACGTTAACAGGATGGCACTTCAAAGGAACCCGCAGGGCTGCAGATGGCACCGGGGGTCCTTGTTCCAGCTGTCTCATCAAGCTGATATCCCACAATTATTTTCCAGGATCAAACAGTGCTGCAAGAAGCAGCTCCCACAGCACCGGGGAGACGCCGCTCGTTCCAGGGGGATCCTGTGGCTGCTTCAGCTGCAACACTTGGAATGTGTCAGTTGTAAAATAAAACCAACAAACTCCGGAGTCTTGTGTTTATGGAGAAAAAAAATAATAATAATAAAAGGAATTCAAGCCATGCCTAAACAATATGGCTGGGATTCAGAAAAGCTTTTCTGTGGAGCCTGGACTTTAAGTAGAGAACCACTAGAGTCAGCTGAATTCCAGCATATAGTGGAATGCTTTACTGTAGGATAAATTCAGCCGATGCCAAAGTCCTTTCCAGAATCACGGTCTTGATTTTATATTTTTTTAAACACAAACAATGATGTGGAGCTAACTAGGAATCAGAACAGAGCGTCAGTGAGAATAATTGCAGCATCTGTGCTAATTCTCTTTTCATCCTGGTACCCCCTGCTTCTAAGTATGGAAATCTGATTCTCCTTGTGCCTCCACTGAAGTTTCTATTGATTAAATACCCAGCCCCAGCAGCAGGAGAATCAAGCCCTGAATATTTATTCTCTTCCTCTTAATACATCAAGAATTCCCTTTGGCCTCTCAAGTGCTGTATCACAGGGTGCCATGAATGCAAATGGAATTACAGTGATCATGTAGCTAATGAATATATTTGTATATGTATGCAAGCACTTCCCTACTCCACACCACCACCAGGAGCAGGGAATATCCACACACACGGGCAGGCAAGGTGTGGGAAAGGATGGATATGGGAAGCATATCAATAGCAGGAGCCAGGCTGCAGTTTCTGAGGAGAAATGAACTGAAATCCTTCCAAGATGAAGGCTGCAAGCTCAGGACCTCACGCAGACCTTTGGATCGTTTCCTCTGAAGCTTTAAAGCCCAATTTGTAGACTAGAAGTGTACATGTTTATGTTTTCATTATCCACCAGCATCACCCTCTATTTATATAAATAGACAGAAACTGCTGCAATGCATAATGTAAAATATTGTCAGCATTTCCAAGGGAGAGATCAGTGATATCATCTCAAAGCAGGGTACAAAATGCACACGTAACCTTTTCACCTCCATCCTTAATAAGACATTTTGAATTCTTTTCAAACACCTTCAAATTCTTTTGAGAAAAGTTATTCTATAAGGGAATAAATTCATTCCTGCAGAAACTTGGCTGATTTCAGAGTTGTAACAGCTTAAAACCAGGATGCATTTAATTTGTTAGCACTCTCCATGTTGACTTCTAAAGTCATCCTGTAACGTCCGAAAATAAATTGACTTAAATCAGGTTCAAGTACCAGTGGCAATTAGAACCTGCAAAGTCACAGAAATGTCAGGAGGTGTCTGGATCAGACACACACTGGAATATCTACAAAGAAATATCCTCAAAACCACTTTTGAGTTGGTTCAAACACTTGGCAAGTGACTCATTCAGCACAAGAGCCACTCTTTGGGTTTACTACAGCCAGAAATGCAGGATTTTGGTGCTACTCCACTCCAGTCAATCCCAGCCCAACCCAGAGCAAACATACACCACAAACGAGGGTGAGAGCCCCATTAAGCTCAGGGGGAGAGGAGGTCACCTACCCAGTGAGGACCACGACAAAATCCATCACGTTCCAGCCATTGCGCAGGTAAGAGCCTTTGTGAAAAACAAAGCCCAGAGCGATGATTTTGATACCAGCTTCAAAACAAAATATTCCAATAAAGTACGGCTCAGTGTCATCCTGGAAAAGAAAGGAAATGAAAGGAGTCAAGGAGATATCCACGTTCCTGCTGTGATAAGCAGTCCCCTAAACAGCTACAGGCAGCAACTTCACACCTTTTCCATTCTTTTAACAGAGCTGAAATTAAAGGTTTAAGTTTGTTGGGAGTAAGATCACAGAGGAATTTCATTATTGTTTCTCTGAAATGAATTTTCGTTACAAATTGGCAATCCTGTTGGCCTTCATCCTGATGGTTCCACGCCACACTTTCCACCTTCACGGAATGTTCTGGAGGGAATTTCGATGTGGAGATTTTGCTCTAAGGGTATATTGAAATTAGAGATGACAGGTTTCTGGAGTTATTGGCATGGAAAATGTACCACAACTCATCCAGGAGCCTGAAACAAGAGGGTGTCTTGGGGAGCAACAGTCAGCCACAGCAAGCCTGACTGCACTGACAGGAAATTATTTATTTATCATTTATTCCATCAGTTCGCTCTCTGCTCCTTCTCCTCCATTTTATCAATTTTCACAGCTGCAGCCTCATTTGTTTTCCTTTCACTGGGGATGTGGTTCAGGGAGAAATCCCCAACCCCTCCCATGAACAGCAGGAACAGCAAGATTTGTGTCTGGGGTCCATGGTGCAGACTAACACATCCCTTGGGATTGCAGATTCGTGTCCTTGCTCACTACACTGAAAATCAAGCTCAGTCTCTACAGTTTTACTAAACCTTTCATTCCATCTCTGCACCAGATCTCTCAGGATTAGACTTTATTGACTGGAGTTTCAACACAAATTCAGTGCCAAATGGAAGCATTTGGAAGGAAGATTTGGGCAAGAAATGAGAACAAAGCAAGATGTAAAAGCAATGGGCATCAATTTCAAGAACTTGTTCATCAGCTTTGGCACCAATAACCAATTTCCAAATGTGCCTTAGATCCTGGTTTGCAGTTAAATTTAGTGGAAGTAAAGCAGCCCTACCCAAAGAAGCAAACTTCCACAGTGAGAGATTAGAAATCTCTTTTCCAGTGGCTTTGGCATTTCTGGCCACTAGAACCAAAGAGCTGAGCTGCTGTTTGAGGTGTAGTTGTTTGTATTTTGCAATTCTCCCAATGACAATGGAGGATTGTTTGTTCTCTGATGGAAAAAGAGCAGGAATGTTGAGGTTTGTGGCCCCAGAACCAGGGAAGAATGCAGATTTGACACAAGCACAGCAACTCCTGCCCAGCTCTGGCACAGACCCACACTTCAGGACAGCACTGGCTCCAGAAATTGAGATTTTCACCCCTAAAAGTTGGCCCTATTCAGTCTTGAGAGGTGATGCTGAGAGGGGCCCTCAGCCCTGGTTGTCCCTGTCTGTCCATCTGTCCCAGTCTGTCCCTGAGTGTCCCTCAGTCTGTCCCTGTGCGCAGGGCTCAGAGCAGGCCCAGGCTCTGCTGCAGGCCCAGCAATGGCCCCAGAGCCACGGGCAGGGCCTGAGCCCAGCCCAATCTGTCCCTGTCTGTCTGTCCCTGTATGCCCCTGTATCCCCCTGTCCATCCCTGTCTGTCCCTGTGCACAGAGGTCAGAGCAGGCCCAGGCTCTGCTCCAGGCCCAGCAATGGCTCCAGAGCCACGGGCAGCGCCTGAGCCCAGCAATTCCCCTGCCCAGGAGGCAGAACCTCTGCCCTGGGCAGTGTCAGCCCTGAGCAGAGCCTGGGAGGCTCTGGGCTCTCCCTGACCGGGAACATTCCAGAACCATCAGCCCTGTGCCCTGGGATGGCCCTGCTGGAGCAGCGAGGTAGCACCATAACCCCACTGTTGGTCCCCTCCAGCCTGAACCCCCTGGGATCTGTAATGTGACAGCACAGAGCTCCCAGAGAGGCTTGGCTGGACATGACACAGCTCAGCAAGTCCAGCAGAGTGCTCCAGTCTCTGAGGATGCCTCCAAGCTGCTGGAAAACACAACCCCTGGAGAGGCTTTCCATCAGCTGCTGTTCAGGTTCCATTTCCCATGTCCCTACACACCTCAGTGGGAACAGCTCTTCCACCATTTCACCTTCCATCCCCTGTTACTTCTATTCCCCTGCACCTTTCTGACCTCACAGTCCCAGCAGCTCCACCTGCCCTGTCCCTGTGGTGAGGTGACATCACCTGCAGAGACACAGGTGCTGCCTGGCCAGGCACCCAAACAGAGCAGGGGCCTGCTAAGGGGCACTGGGTCCCTGGCTGAAATGGAGAGCAGAAAATGAAAATCCAGCCCCCAAACTGGTTCCCCTCCAGCCAAGGAGGGCTCTGCACAAGCAGCAGCACCTCCAAGCCCTCTGTCCCTCACTGATGCTGCTCAGAGGACACAGGAGCCACCCCTGCCCGACCTCCAGTTGCCCATCTCAGAGCTGTTTACCAACAGAAAATTAGGAACAAAGGCCATTCAGACCTTTTGTGACCTTCAAAAGAAATCCTACAATACATATCTTCTTCCAGCAGTGAGAGCTGGAGGCGTCCCAGCGCTCCAACCCAGCACAGAGAAGAGGGAATAAGGGAGAAGGAGTCAGAAAGGGGCCAGAAACCATCCTGATTCCAGGAGAAGTTCCTTACAACTCCTCATGGACACAGGAGCCCTCTAACAGCCCAATTCACCTGTTCCTCAACAGCTCCAGGTAATGTCTGCACACAAAGGCCTCCCAGCCCATCCCAAATCCCCATCCCACAACTACTCGTGTGCCTCCAAAAATAGCTCCTCTAAGAGACACAAAAAAGCTACCTTTACCCACATCCACTCCTCCACATTACTCCCTCACTTCCTTGAAGCCTGGTATCTACTCCAGGCTCTGCTCAATCTAGGTCAGGTGCCTGGTGATTACAGCTCCCAGCTTTAAAGAGCCAGGCTCCAGGTACTCCAGGATTTGATGGGATGTGCTCTTCCCAAAGCTGGGGCTGCACAGAGCTCTTAGGAAGTGGGTCAGGAGTTTTTTCAGCTTCTATGGAAGCAGGAAGGCTCACAGATGGATTTGGGTATTTATTACAAAGAAAAGCTCTCGTCTGTAGGGCTGGCAGGGAGTAGCTGGGGAAATAAGAGGCAAAAGAAAGAAGGTCTTTTCTAAAGCCTGGCTAAATTTACACTGATTCAGCCCAAGAATCAGGGCAGTGACAAGAAGATGAAAAATAAAATTTATGCCCCACTGGGGAGATGTTGTTTCATACATTACAACAGTTCTATTAACATTACAGGTTGTCTTATAGATCAAGAGTTCTGTTGTCTTAGGTTGCCTTCTATATCAAGAGTGCAAGGATCCCACAGCACCAGAGTTTTATACCTCCTCAATGTTTTCTGTAAGCAGCTCCTCTAAGCACTGATGGTCCTTACAGCAGCCATCTGACTCCTTTTATACCACTAGTTCTTATTGGCTACAGGTGTCGCCTGTTATCATCCAGCCTGCTCCTAATCTTTAGTAATAAGGACCAGCTGCAACTCATTGGGGGATAAGATTACACTCCACATTACCTCCATTTACCCATACTGTGTTCTCCTACAGGGAGAGGTCCTGCAGCTGACCAAAAAAAAGGATTTGTCTGACTATGTGTGATGGAGGAGGGAAGGACATGGCTGAATGCCCTGTGCAGCACTGAAATGGCCCTGCCTCAGCTCAGAGTCCCTGCTGGGACACCCTGAAGCCCCTTCAGACCAAAGGCTGTGGCCCTGCTCGGGTTGCAGAGGGGCAGAGCAGGTGAGGATGAGGATCCCTGTGCGTACTTGGAAGGAGGGCAGAGCATCTGGGCAGCAGCCAGAGCTGTGCCAGCAAGTTGTTTGCTGTGGACACAGCAGAGCTTGAGGCTGGGCCAAACACACATTTAATCAATATGTTTCTGATCAGAAACAACTTCTGAGTCTGGAAAGTCATTACCATTCCTACTTCACGTCCTAGTGTCTTTCCTTGGCCTTCAGATGTGACAGCCTGGAGAGGTTTGGGTGTGAAAGGCTTTGTTCATGCAAAGGTTAATATGAGCAGCTCACACATTACTGCTCTAAGTGCCTGTGGATGGCAGAAAGCATTCAATCCATTAGTAAATTGCCAGAGCTGTCACAGAGCTGAAAATGTGGGAAAAGTGATGTTCTGTCCTCACCTCCAAAACACCCAGGGGAGCCAAACACCCCGAGCCTGCAGTGAACATCCCACAGCCCCTCAGGTGTGGAACAGATTTTACAGCAATTTCTATGAGCCAGAGAGAAGTTTGATCAGCAGATCCACGTTTACCCCTGAAAAAATTTTCTACCAAGGTCGTTGACACAGAAACCAAGAAAGAAAGAAGGACAAATAAGAGAAACCTGCAGCTGCCTGTTCCAATGAGCACTTTGCTTGTTTCTGTGACCAATGAGTCAAGGATAAACTGATGAGTTTGTAAGAATGTATATAAAATGTAAATATATATAAATATATAAAAGAAAGAATGCATATAAAAAGTATGCAGACTAGAATAAAAACAGTTTGAAGCCTTCTGAAAATGGAGTGTTGCTTTGTGTTGTCTCCATCTCAACTATGACACTGGTGCCTTCCAACAGGGCCTGCCCCAGGGCAGGGCAGAAAAGAGATTTCCTGTCCTGCAAGTTCTGGAATCATCACTGTCCTTCTGGGAGAGGTCTCCTGGAGCTCCTCATGGGAAACTGAGCAATCAGGAAGGAGACAGGGAGGGAAGGAGGTCCTGGTGTGGACAGCCAAGAGCCTTGGGAGCAAGGTACCTGTGAGACCACTGGGGACTGGGATAGGAAGCTCCCATTCCCACATTTGGAGCTCCATCACCCCTGTGTGTACAAACAATGCAAGATTCTTTGGGATAGATAGAGGGGAGGCTGACTGGGTGAGATGGACAGGGGCAGACCTGTTCCACTGGACAATTCCTGGTGGAGATGGACAGGGACAGACCTGTTCCACTGGACAATTCCTGGTGGGAGTGGAACATTCCCAGCATCCAGAGCATGTGAGATTTCCAGCTCAGAGCAGGAAAGAGCCTCAGGGTAGGTCAGTCTGCTGCTGGTAGGGGAATGAGTTTTTTCCTCATTTGATGATGGAGGACCTGAGCCAGTCCCCCAGTTCACCACTAAATGCTTTGATCACCATGCTGGGGCTTTCTCAGAGCCCTGATTTTGACCAGAATTTCCAGCCCAGAGCCAAGTAATGCTTTTCTGTGCATTCTGAGAATTCTCCTAAGCCAGATACTCCAAATCTTGGAGTACTGCATGTACTGAGACCTGTGCTCAGTTAACCTGTCTGACAATAACAGGAGCACAGAATTCAGCCCAGTGGGATTGCACTGCAGGATCATTTCCTGGGTCTTGGGGAGATAAATAGAGGAGGATTTTGATTAAAAGACAAAAATAATTAAAATGTTTGCATGGGCCCTTCCCATTTTTTCTCAGCTTTAGCAAACAATCTTTTTTTTTTCCCCCTTTGTTTCTGTGGAACAAATTATCTGGGCAACCAGTTTTCCTTCAACTATTCTGCCAACATCTCCCAGTCAGAAAAGGCTTGTGATGTGTTCCTCATAGCCTTAATATCTGATTAACTCTTCACTGATGATCTCCAATTTGGAGATTTTAATGAAACCAGGAGGAAAAAAAAGCCATATCCATTAACCATTGCCAAAAAAAAGACCATTTCCATTCCTGCTAAAGACAGCAATAAAGCACCTGCTGTTCTGCATGGGCTTAGAATTTGCCTGAACAGATCTGAAAATGTATGGGAAATGTATGGGAAATATATGGGAATGTTTCCCCACTGTGGTTTAACACAGATTTGTAACATTTGGTTTAACACAGATTTGTAACATTTTTGATGAAACAACTTCCAGTTTATAGAAGTAACAGGAGAATTCCAAAGAGGTTCCACTTTGAAAACTAGAAGACAGTTTTTCTTGCTCACAATGCTTATTCTTTCCAGCTTATGTAGAAAATAAAAAGTATTTCATTACTTGTAAGGATTCTCAGTGTTACTCTATGAAAAATCACTTTGTACTTCAGAGTTCCAAATGTGCTGTAGTTAAAATGGCTTCAGGATATCTGGATCAAACATAATGGTGCTTGGGACAAAAATGAGGGGTTAATTCTTCCTTCCTCTCTGAGGCAGAGCCAACAGGGCAGAGATTGTGCATTTACCTCACTCAGCTCTCTCACACTGCTTGGTGGCAATGCCAGTGCCCCCCTTTGGAATGATTTAGGCAGGATCTGAAGGTGTGTGCGCTGTAAAATGGAATTAATACACTGGGAAAAGAACAATAAAATGCCTCTAGGACGCTCTTATAAATCAAGGGATACAGAGAAACATAAAACCAACGTGAACCAAAGAACTGCCAAGCCAGAACATCCCTGAAACTGCTTTTCCTTATATTTATATCCATGGAAGGCACTTCCCTAACTCAGTCCTGGTTCTGAACCTGTGCTTTGCTCACACCCCCAGGCTGGCCTTGCCAACCAACCCCAAAGCACACAAAGACAGGTTTAATGGCAGAAAGATCTACATACAATCATTGATTTATTTTATCCTCGTGTCTTCTTAATTAAAAATAATTCCAACAGGGAGAGAAAGCAAGCCCCATGCATGAGGGCAGCCAGCAGGAGTGGATCCATTTCCAAACCAGCACCAAACTCTGACCCTGACTCTCCAGATTCCTCACTAACACGCTTTTTCCTGCTTCTGGAGAATGAGATTCTGAGAGTTGCCCACTGGCATGGGCCATCCTTGGGAACTGCAGCAAGCACTATTCAGAGGCTCTCGTTTCTGGCAGCAAGCCTAATGTTATCTTTGTTTGCATAATATAGCATCTACATTGAAAACACATATGGATCCCTATTTCCCCATCCTTTGAACATGCAGGATGAATGCATTTAGGCATGCAAGACGTTCCAGATCATTAAAAGTAGAGGAGAGTAAAAGGAGAAAAATCAAACCAAGAATTACACAGTTTCCCTACAGTGATGATAAATGGGAGAATTATTTTGAAGCTATTCTTCTATTTTCTTTTGAAATAAGGTAATTGGACTCATTACCATAAAGCCTGCGGGTAAATAATTTTTCTCTGTAAGCTGGTTGCATTTTTTTTTTTTGGAAAGGAAGTGTAATCATCTGAACACAAAGTTTTCCTTGAAGGATCTGTGCTGTGGCAGGAAGAGACAGACAAATCCTAAAAGGTTACTCTGTTCTACCACTCCCTGGGAAAATTAAAATTACACAGAAGTTCATTTGATTCCAAAGATAATTCTAAGCATTCCTCAACTCCTTCCTGTCCTGGTTTAGAGGCAACCTAAGTGTGAAGCCCTTCTGATCATAAGACAAGGTCCAGCTCTCTCTGTGGCTGGGCAGGGCTGGCTGGAGTGATGAAGCATTCTTGTGCAGATGGGATTGGGAGGGGACAGTTATCCTTGCTGTGACAGATTTTCTCTGATTGTCAGATCAGTGCCTGTCTGTTTACGTGTGGATCTTTAAAATAGATCCAAACACTAGATCCAAACACTTCCAACACCCAGTGAACAACTGCTTTTTGTATTAGACCAGGGAAATAAAAAAAGAAAATGAATGAATGCAACTCACCAGTCTCTCTGACATCGGTGTCTTGTCTCCATCCGGCAAATGTTGTTCCAGAGCCAGCACAATACAATTGGCTATGATTGTAGCTAAAATCATGTATTCAAATGGAGTGGGGAGCAGAAGTTAAAGAAGACACTGGACAATACAAGAAGAACCCCATCCAAATCCTGTTTCTACCCACAGAGTTGCATTAATTGAGCATTCTAAGGTTTCTCATACTTTTTTAAAGACATTTGGTCTCCCTGACTTCCTCAGTTCTTTCTGAGGTGTGCTTGGAAGAGAAGTAGGAAATTGGCACTTCTCTAAGAGAGTTAGAGACTCACACACAATCTGAGCTGCTCAAGGAATCCGGGAGCAAGAAAGCAAAAGGTCCAAAGGAAATAAAAAACTATTAATACGTATTGATTTTCAAAGAGATTGATAAACTAAATTGCTTCCAAATAGATTATACAACTAAACACCATCTGCTGAATTTTTCTTCAGAAACATTTAACTTCAGCACACGGTGCAAATAAGTGATGGGCACAAAAAGTTCAATTTAGACTACCGACCCAGGTCTAAAACATGAATTACTGCTCAACTGCAATGCCCGCTCTCAGTGAGAATAAAACCCTCAGCACCCTTTGGGGATGTAGGAAGGAAGTGGGGAGGGAAAAGAATTCAAATCCAGCACCAGGTGCCCTCTTGCTTTTTGCCACCATCTCCCACCCTGAGCTGTGCCGGGGTGGAGCCGTGCCACGGGCAGCAGCAGGGCTGAGTGCAGGAGATGGCTCCGCTCAGCATCACGGGGAGATGGAACCAGAGCATGGAGAGATGGACCCAGGACCGTGGGAAGATGGACCCAGAGCATGGGGAGATGGAACCAGAGCATGGGGATGGCTCCGCTCAGAACCGTGGGGAGATGGACCCAGAGCATGGAGAGATGGAACCAGCACCACAGGGAGATGGAATCAGCACCATGGAGAGACAGACCAATACCATGGGGAGATGGACCCAGCATCACAGGGAGATGGACCCAGACCATGGAAAGCTGGGCTCAGTACCATGGAGAGATGGACCCAGCAACATGGAGAGATGGAACCAGACTGTGGAGAGATGGACCCAGCACTGTGGAGGAAATGGAACCAGCGCCATGGAGAGCTGGGCTCAGCACCATGGGGAGATGGACTGAGGACCACAAAGAGATGGGATCAGCACCATGGAGAGATGGACCCAGCACCACGGAGAGATAGGATCAGCACGGGGAGATGGACCCAAGATTGTGGAAAGCTGGGCTCAGGACCATGGAGAGATTGACCCAATACTGCAGAGAGATGGACTCAGCACCATGGAGAGATGAGATCAGCACCGTGGGGAGATAGAACCAGCACTACGGAGAGCTCAGCTCAACACCGTGGAGAGCTCCTGTGAGCGCAGGAGAGAGCTCGGCTCAGCACCAGGGACAGCGCCGAGCCGCGCCGCAGACACAACACCCTGGAGGCTCAGCTCAGTGCCCGAGCTCGATTTGGCAGCGTGGAGAGATTGGTTCAGCACCGCGAGGAGCTCAGCTCAGCTCAACGCCGTGATAAGCTCATCCTAGCACCATGGTCAGCTCAGCTCAGCACTGTGGCCAGCCTGGCTTCAGAACCATGGTCAGCGTAGCTCGACACCACGGTCAGCTCAGCTTAGCACCACGGTCACCCTGGCTTCAAAAGCATGGTCAGGTCAGTTTAGCACCATGGTCAACCCAGCTTCAGCGCCGTGGTCAGCTCAGCTTAGCACCATGGTCATCCTGACTTCAAAACCGTGGTCAGCTCAGCTCAACACCTTGATAAGCTCATCCCACCACTGTGCTCAGCTCAGCACCACCATCAGCTCAACTCAAGCACTATGGTCAGCCCGGATACAGAACCGTGGTCAGCTTTGCTCAGCACCACAGTCAGCTCGGCTCAGCACCATGGCCAGCCCGGTTTCAGCACCGTGGCCAGCCCGGTTTCAGCACCATGGCCAGCCTGGTTTCAGCCCGGTTTCAGCACCGTGGCCAGCTCAATCCAACCCCGCGGACAGCGCCCGGCCCCGCCCGGCCCCGCCGCTCCGGCACGGGGAAGCGCCGGTGCCTCCGCCGGTCCCGCCGGCTCCCCAGCACTCGGGGTCCCCTCCCCACATCCCCCGGAAAATGCAGCCGAATCGCCCAAGAGGCAGGGGAGGGAAAGCCTGAGTCTACCCGCGCAGTCAAGGCGATGCTCTGCCTGCCACAGGGGGTTTGGGGCTTGTTTATCGAGACTTAAATGCGGGGAAGGAGAAATGGATGAGGAAATGCAGCAATCGCTGGGATTGTATAATATGGACAGAAAGATCAATACGTGTTTGTGTGTGTTCGGAGAGAAGGGAAGTGCACTCACTCCACTGGTGTATTTTTCCTGTTAGCCCCTCAGGAAGTGAAAACTGGGGAAGTCTAAGCAGGAGCTGGCCTGTGTGGCAACTGAAAGTGTTGCTAGGAGGCTGGGAGGAGGCCGTGCTGCTGTTAGCTGAGGATTAATAGGGGTGTGATATGAAATGAAAAGAAAACAACCGGCTCCCCTGAGACCCCCAGTGTAAAGCACTCCTGTACACACACACAAAATCTGCTCCCTGGGAGCCTCAGCCTGCTCCCCTCTGCTCCCAGCTTACAACCATCGTTCCGAGCAAAGCCCCCTTCTCACTGCAGCTCACTTGGCCTGGGAGCTGGGTCTCAGACAGAAAGTATCTGCCCCTTTCACGATACAGCAGATGATCCCTCTCCCCACTTACTGCCTCCTTCTGCCACACGGCTTTGCTAATTTTAATTTTTTTTCGTGCAGCCTAAGCTTAGGCTATGCACCTAATCGAAGTGCCATGATTCATGTTGATTCAAATGGATTCTGGAGGGGATGTGCTAAAACTGAGCTGCAATGATCGCATTCCTGGGATTTACCTGGGCTCTCAACGTCCCCTACTATCAACGCAGCTTCAATGCTAAGGTGTCACCATTTTTATCCCACATTCCTTCTATTCACAGGAAGACAGAAGAGTTGAATGGCTCCAAGATGGAAATAAAAATCAGGATTCACAGGCACGAATCTAACAGAACCTGACTTGAATTGTAGGAAATGTCAATCCATGCACCTGTACATCTCACCCCTAAAGACACCCTGACACGGCTTACACACACCCCTGGCATCAAACACACCAAAAGGACCCTCGGTGCTCCCACAGAAGCAATTCCCTGATTCTCTGATTATTCCCATATTCCCACTGCCACGGCCGTGCATCATGTCGGGCACACGGCTCCCGGCACACACACCCATGGCACAACCCGATCCCACCGTCTGCAGCAGCAGCAGACACTCGCCCTGCGCTGCCTGGAGGGGTCTCTGCCCCTCAGCCTCCCTCTCCCCCTCCCCACCTTCCCCCCGTGCCCACACAGCCTCCCTGAAAGGATATGGCCACTCTGTTATTCGCTTGGCGTATTTCCGTATAACATTATCTTCACTGAAGATGAAGAGGGATCTGTTGACTGTGAAGCAGTTCTGTTTGACAGGGATGGGGTTGTAGAGAGCCATAGTCCTGGCTCTCTGAGCCATCGACTGTTTATACATCCTTTGGCCGGCTTGGGGGCCACCTTGCCGGCTGCTCCCTCTTCCAGCCCCGGCCGGCCCTCCACCTCCATAGCGGGTTGGCAGATCATCCCCAAACCGAGCCATCCTCGCAGTGCACGGAGCCGGGCGCTACAATCCAAACTGGCAGCCGAGGCGAGAGGAAGACGCATCACAGCGCGCAGCACTTCTCCCTCCGGGGGCTTCAGTTGCGGGATCGGGATTGATCGCGGCAAAAATAGATCGATATATAATAAAACAAAAAATATCCCTTTTCCTTCCTCCACCCCCCTGCGCTTCCCCGCCGCTGTGGCTGCCCGGGGGTAGGAGGAAGGCTCCGGGGCTCCGCTCACCTCCCCGCACAGGTGGCGTCTCTCCGGCCCGACCTCATGGCCGGGGCGGCGCGGGGTGGCCGCGGTGGCCGCGGTCCCTTCGGCCACGGGGCGCTGGGCTGGGAAGGGGCTGCGCTGCTGCCGTGCCCGCCGCGGGAGCGCTCCGCCGTGCCCAGCCCAGCCCGGCACGGCTCCGGCACGGCCCGGCCCCGCCGCATGTGATGCCCGGAGCCAATCGGCCGCCGCGGCTCCGCCCGCTCCAGTCACCGGCACCGGGGGGCGGGCGGCGAGGGAGGAGGGAGGATGGAGCCGGCCCGGCCCGGCCGCCGCCGCCCACCCCGGTAAATACGGCGGAGCCGCGGCCACTCCCCGGGGAAGGAGGGCTCGATCCCCCCCTCCCGCCCCTGCGCAGCGCTCCGCGGGCGCGCACAGCCCCGGCCGGGGGTGCTGCTGCTGCTCCGATGGGTGGGGGGCACGGGCGAGGCAGCCCCCGCGCCTGCGCGCCGCGCCCAGATGTGCCCTGCCCAGATGTGCCCTGCCCAGATGTGCGCTGCCCAGATGTGCCCTGCCCAGCTGCTGCCCCCACGGGTGCCCCGAGCCGTGGTGCGGGCAGCGCTGGGCAGCGCAGCTCCCGTCATCTCGGTGCCCCCAGAGCCCCTCAGACCCCCGCAGAATCCCGAGGGTGGGGAGAATCACAGTAAAAAACTGGGTTCGGGGCTCGGGGGGTGCTGAGCCGGCAGCCCCCGGGGGCTCGGGGCGGGCACGGGCGGGTGCGGGCGGGGGATGCGGTGCCCGCAGCGCTCACGGCGCCGGGCACGGGCGGGGATGTGCGGCACGGGCTGGCTGCGAGCAGAGCTGCGCCCTTGTGCTCAACTTACTTTGTTTCTCCTTGGTTTGAATGACTCCTGCGGAGCGCTGGATACCTTTAATCCTGTATTTATGGATGAAATCCTTTAATCCTGTTTATTCCAACACCCTCTGTTGCTCCCCTCCAGCACAAGTCAGAGAGATAACTCCTCCTTGTTCCTGGAGCGCCGCACGGCAACAGACACTGCAGTAGCTGGCGAGGAAATGTTTTTGCATTTTAGGCTAAATTTGGGGTATAAACTATTAACTTTGAGAAGACCCCCTCGGAGAAGTCAGGGCTGTCAACAGGGGGACATTTTCACTTCCTCCACAGCAAGGAAAGTCTGGACTCCGCCGCTAATGTGCTTTTTGCCTTAGTCATCCAAGCTCAGTGCAAAACCAGCCCACCGACCAGGCAAGCCTGGAGCAATAACATCTGCTGGCTTCAGGAGCCAGTCAGAGGGCTGGCAGCAGCCACAAGTGACACAAATAAGGTCTGGCAAGACGCAAAGGGTGACTCTCCGGAAGGAACCGGCTCCTTGCGCCGGGGCTCGCTGTCTGAAGGGCTCTCGCACACTGCAGCACAGGCAGGAGACGCTCCCGGAGGCGGCACCGGCAGCCGAGGGGAGCCAGGAGCGGCTCTGAGGCACGGAAAGCAGCGAGGGAAGGAGGTGAATCACATCCTGCTGCCTCCAGGGTCGCACGCAGCAGGAACCGGCGGCCCCCGGCACCGACAGGGGTCTGCGAGCCCTGCGGACCAGGGCAGAGGGAGCAGCTCCGGTCTGCAGGTTGCCTTCCCCTGCTCTCACTGGCAACGCAATAAAAGATCTTTTCCCCCTCCCCAGGTCTGGGTGATTTGCAGATTAAGCTGAGTGCAGGAGTCTTTGGGAAAAACTTTGCCCCGAGACAGATGCTGGAGTGGTTCATCATCCCTGTTCCACTCACAGACCCTGGGCAGAGATTCAAACGAGAGTTTCCTCCAAGGATCTCCACCCGTGAGCACTGCTGAGCTGATCCACGCAGATGGGAAAGTTCCCTTATTTTGTGGATGGAGAAGGAGGGCGCAGGGAGCTCTTCTTTCTTTAAAATTTTCCCTAAAAACCACTTTTATCCTCACTGCATTGTATCCTATGATGGATTTATCTTTCACCTGAAAGTCAAGTTTCCTCCAGCTGACTTATTTACTCGTTTCATTTTTATTAAACTAACTTACTTACTTAGTGGTTTAATATTTCACTTTTGTGCTTCTGGCCACTACATCTCCTACATCCTTTTTCAGTGGAAAAACCTGACTTTTTCTCAGTGACTACCAGAAGAGGAAATGCCATTTTCAATAACCCCTCACCTCTCCAGATGGAAATCAGTACTTGGAGAAAAAAATACTTGGTTTCCAAAATCTTCATCCTCCTGTGCTTACAGAATCAGGGGGATGGATGACACAACAGCTCTGAAACAGAAAAAAAAAATAAGAAGAAAATAAAAAAGCTGTCTTTTGCATTAGATCTTATTGAGCATCAGGGAAAATCCTGACCTCCACATCCCCTTCTCTCCTCCTACAGCCACCAAACCACTCTGCCTCTCCCAGAACAAGCTCCCCACCACAGCACTGCAGTGAAATCAGCAGCCAGGGCAGTGGGGGTGTTCGTGACAGTGAGAAAATGATGTGAGTGTGTCGTGAGGATGCTCTGTTCAACCAGTTTGCCCTTTCCTCAATCTGCATGCTCAGGGCTTTTTTCCTGGATTGTTTTTTTTCACACCCTAAGGAAGATCACGCAGACCTTAAGCACTGAAAGCCTTAAAGAAGAGAAGGAGATTGCAATTGCAAGGATTATTTGGCTTTGAGAGGGGAAGTGCCAGGATTTAGTTGGGCTTTTTAAGATTAGGAGAAAAGCAGGGGAGTTAAGAGAAAGCAAAAAATTTGGAGCACTGAAACAGGTCAGACATCCATAATCTCCCGTTACAGGAGGGCAAAGAGCATTCCATGGAAAATTCTAAAAGTGGACTCAGTCATGAGTGACTCCTCCTCACAAGCCCTGAAGACAGAGGTGAGTAAATCACTCTGCTCTCCAGCACAGCTTAGCAAGGAGCCTTCCTCCTCCCTGAGCAGCTTTGCCAGGCAACCAAGCGTTCCCCTGGACTTTCACTGCCAGCCCAAGCCTGAGGCAGGTGACTGGGCTTAATGGAGCAGCACTTCCACCTGCCAAGGCACAGCCAGGGCAGAGGAAATGGCCCAGAGTGGCTGCAGGGCTCCTGCCAGGTGCCTGGGACACTGGGGCCATGGAGAGCACCCCTGGTCTGTGTGTTTGCCCCATCAGGACAGCTCCCAGGAGCTGCTGGACAGTCTGGATCCATCTCTGCCTCCATCTCTGGAGGCCTTTCTGGGGAAATCACAAAGTGGATTTCCAGCTTGCTGTGCTCCAGATGCTTCCAGCATGAGGGACAGTGGCTAAAATTCAGGGACACAGCCCAAACATCCCCCTCTGAGCAGAACAGAGTGGGGATATTTATAAAAACAGCAGCAGGAAAGCAGATTTCTTCTTTCAAGAGGGGAAAGGACTCCCACCATGCCCTGACATCTCTGGATCCTGCCCTACACCTGGAGTAGCTCAGAGGGAAGGTCAAAGCTCTCCAGAATACCTTTTGTCCAGGTGAGCTCAGAATTTACTTATTTACTCAAAATTTGCAAGGCTGAGGAACAGAGGAGCCTTTTCAATCCCATCTTGAGGCTCTGAATCCCGGGTACTGCCAAGCAGAGCAGCTCCCAGGAGCACATTTCCTTTAAAAATAAACAAGCAACACAGACTGCACATCTCCTTCCAGCCCACGGGAAGGTTCAGAGCTTTAGGCCAGGAAAAGCAGCTTTCCAAGGTGCTCCTGGCCAGGGATTCCTGCTCTCCTCACTCCCATTTTGCACCAGCTGTGCTGGAGGAGAATCCTGCTGCCATGCAGGCAGAGGAGATTGTTAAAGCTCAGGTCTGCAGGAGGATGTAGAATAGCTTTATGTAAAACCCATGAGGAAGACGCTCTGATACTTTTTCTCCAGAGTAAGAGAGTGAACAAAGGGGAAAGAGGCCTTTTGAAGATACAGCTCCTCCTATGCAAGTCCTGATCATGGCATTGTTTAGTGTCCCAAACCCCCAGGGCCAATTTGTGGCATTCACATTCTCTGAAAAATCCCTTTGCCCAGGGTTTTTCTCCTGGGATATTGAGAAGCCTCGGAGAAAAAGGAAAACAATTATTCCCTCATTTGCTTCTCCTGTGTTGTGCTCATGTGGAATGTGTTTGGAGATTGTTTACCCACAGGTGATTGTTCCATTGGATTCTGCTGGGAGTTGTTTTCACTCTTTGGCCAATCAGGGCCAAGCTGTGTCAGGACTCTGGAAAGAGTCAGGAGTTTTCATTATTATCTTCTTAGCATTCTGTAAGTATCCTTTCTGTATTTAGTTAGTTTAGTATTCTTTAATATAATATAGTATAATATATATAATAGTATATTCTTTAATATAATATGGTATCATAAAATAAGAAATTAGCCTTCTGAGAACATCATGTTAATCATTCCTGCCTTCATTGAGACACCCCACAAATACAATACCAATTACCCTCAGCTGCTGCACGAACGTGGAGCAAGAGAGACCCTGAGCTCATGGCTTGGGGTGGGGGCACAGCAATCCCACCTTGGCATGAGGGGCTGCACAGAACCCCCCAGGCTGGAACCATTCCCATCCCACAGCTCCACACAGCTCTGCCAGCCCATCACAGACCAAGGGCAGTGTTTAAAGGATCAGCTGAGATGGATGTGAGGGAAGGGGAATGGAGGTAGCCCAGAACAGGGCAGGGAGAGAAAGCAGGAGCTGGTTGTCCCTGCTCAGCACCTTCCCCACCTTCCCTGGGGAGCCCCAGGGGAGCAGGAGCTGCTCCTGCTGCTCCTCTTGAGCTGAATTCCTTCGTAGGTGGATCACGACTCCAAACCCAGCTGCTGGCTGTGGCAGGAGCCAGCTGAGTTCAGCCCCAGGTAGCTCCACAATGAGGTTTTCAGCTCAGGAAATACTTCAGCAAGCAGGATATCTGAACAGCATATATCTGAACAGCACCACACTGGAGAATTCACAGGAAATAAGCAGGAAATCACAGCACACAGGGACACAGAGCTGCCCATGGGTTGAAGAGGGACAAGACACCTCAGTGGTGCTCAGAGATCCCTTCTGACCTCCAGCACCACCAGAACAGGGTTTGCTCTGTGGGAAAAAAATGTGTTTGCACACAGACAGTGCCTGTGGCAGGGAACTGTGAGAAGATGAGAGATAAAAG